TAAAGATATAAAAAGAAACCAAGGGGTTTTGCTCAAGAGGTTTGGAGCACTGATGTTGATGTTATAGTTTTCAAGTGGTTAGATAACAAGCCAAACAATTTAGCATCCAACTTCATCGGCATAGGAGAAACGGACATGGTAAAGAGGTGGTCAAAAACAGAGAAAACTTCAAAGAAATTGAGAGGCCTGAAATCGTGAGAAAATAAAATCACGCGATGGGAGAGGAAAGGCTTGCACGACTGCTAGATCAATTGATGAGTTATTACAGAACTTTCATCAAATCAAACAAGTGGCCCTTGCGTATGTTTCATGCGTCTGATCTGGCAGTCGTGCAAGCCTTTCGAGACTACGACATAGACAACGGCTTGCTCGAAATACCGAAGGTGAAAAGACTCTCTCTTCTGCGTTTTCGCCGAAGATTGTCCGATGCTCCAATTTTGTGCAACAAAATGAATGCCGCGAAACGAGGTCGACCAAACAGTAACAGCCCTATCCCAACAGTTACTCCGAGAAGACCAGGAGAGGTGCGCCCATCTACTGAACTTTGCTCGTGATGGTGTAGGTCATTTTCCTGCCCGCAATGACGGGTCTGGCACACGTTGCAGATTAGTGGGGTGCAAAGGAAATTCCCGCATCAAGTGCGTGAAATGTAAAGTGCACTTGTGTCTCACTAAAGACAAAAATTGTTTTCTATTTTTTCATTCGTAACCAGAGTTCCTAAAATGTAGTGTTTTTGTTAGATACCTAATTTTTTTTTACTGTTATTAATTAACTTTATTTCATACTTTTATATAAAAAATATTAAATCATTTACGTTTTTTATTACATTATTAAATACCCCATACATTATTTTTTATAATCCTTTAGCCGAATGTCCACATTTGAGCACATAAAGAAAATAGTATGCCTAAGCGCGAAGCACGCAGGTATGTTCAGCAAGGCGCCTGCTATGGCCTAAAAATTAAGATTCATAAGTTTTGTCGCGCATGAAATCGTATCTAGCAATCATATTATACATATAAATGATATAAAATCACATTGTCAGAAAGATAAATGATCTTCTTTATTGATATGATGATCTTATTAATATTTTTTTTAAATAATTAAATTGATTAATAAATAAATATCCACATTTAATCCACACTTTAATTAATAAATAAATAATTAAAGTGTGGATTTATCAACGCCGCATGGCGGCGTAAATACGATAACTTTTGAAAATATCAATTGTTCAACTCAATCTATTTTAAAACTCTTCATCTAGCATGTGGGAATCCATTGAATGTAAATGGCAGTTTAATTTTGTTTCATTTAGTTATAATTTATTTTTTTCGGCTCTAAAATGGCGAAATTTTCGGTGGTTTTAGCCAAAGAGAATATAACCACTACGTTTAAGAGGCGGGACTTCCACCAGATGGAAGTTAGCGTAGAACATTTTTTTTTTAACTAAACTGTATGCCAATTAATTGCTCCATAAATGCTCCAGCAGAATCCGAAATTGCTCCACCTCTATTGTTATTAGTTATTTTGTAATTAATTAAAAAAAATTAAATTTTGCTATAAAGTATAAAATATCTCCTTTTTTATATTAAATTGTATGCAAATTAATTGCTCCTTAAATGCTCCAGCAGAATCCGAAATTGCTCCACCTCTATTGTAATTAGTTAATTTATAATTAATTTTTAAAAAATTTAAGTATCGACAATTCAATTTTGCTATAAAACATAAAATATCTACGTTTTAAACTTAAACTGTATGCCAATTATTTGCTCCTTAAATGCTCCAGCAAAATCCGAATTTGCTCCACCTCTATTGCTATTAGTTAATATATAAATAATTTTTAAAAAATTTAAGTATCGAAAATTTAATTTTGCTATAAAACAGAAAATATATAGTTTTTAAATTTAAACTGTATGCCAATTATTTGCTCTTTAAATGCTCCAGCTGAAACCGAAATTGCTATACCTCTATTGCTATTAATTAATTTATAATTAATTTAAAAAAAAACAGAAGGAAGTTAACGTAGAACATTATTTTTTTTAAATTAAATTGTATGCAAATTAATTGCTCCTTAAATGCTCCAGCAGAATCCGAAATTGCTCCACGTCTATTGTTATTAGTTAATTTATAATCAATTTTTAAGAAAAAATAAGTATCGACAATTCAATTTTGCTATAAAACATAAAATATCTACGTTTTAAACTTAAACTGTATGCCAATTATTTGCTCCTTAAATGCTCCAGCAAAATCCGAATTTGCTCCACCTCTATTGCTATTAGTTAATTTATAAATAATTTTTAAAAAATTTAAGTATCGAAAATTTAATTTTGCTATAAAACATAAAATACTTTTTTTTTTAATTAAACTGTGTGCCAATTAATTGGCCCTTAAATGCTCCAGCAGAATTCGAAATTACTCCACCTCTATTGCTGTTAGTTAATTTATAACTAATTTTAAAAGAAAATAGTTGTCGAAAATTTAATTTTGCTATAAAACTTAAAATATGTACTTTATAAAATTAAACTGTATGACAATGCTCCTTAAAAGCTCCAGTAGAATTCGTAATTTTTCTGTCTATTGCTATTAGTTAATTTATAATTAATTTTCAGATAGTGATTCTATTTGAGTAATAGCGCCATCATCAATAGAATGTAGTAACATTCTATAGTTAAAGTCATTTTATCGAACAAAAATTGATTGACTCTCAAGGTGGTACGTAGAAAAGACTAGATGGCATAAACACAAAAATATTATTAACATATGTGTCTAATCCATTCATAAGAATCCATAATTTCAACTCACCCATCAATACTTTTTTTGGTTTTATGCCATTAGGCATCTATTCTACGTACCACCTTGAGAGTGAATCAATTTTTGTTCGATAAAATTACTCAAATAGGATCACTCTATCTCAAAATTAATTATAAATTAACTAATAGCAAAAGACAGTTTAATTTTATAAAGTACATATTTTATGTTTTATAGCAAAATTAAATTTCCGACAATTATTTTTTTTTAAATTAATTATAAATTAACTAATAGCAATAGAAGTGGAGCATTTCGGATTCTGCTGGAGCATTTAAGGAGGAATTAATTGTCATATAGTTTAATTTTATAAAGTAGATATTTTATAGCAAAATTAAATTTTGGATACTTAAATTATTTAAAAATTAATTATAAATTAACTAATAACAATAGAGGTGGAGCAATTTCGGATTCTGCTGGAGCATTTATTAAGAAATTTATTGGCATACAGTTTAATTTCAAAAAGTAAATATTTTATATTTTATAGCAAAATAAAATTTTCGATACTTAATTATTTTTAAATTAATTATAAATTAACTAATAACAATAGAGGTGGAGCAATTTCAGATTCTGCTGGAGCATTTAAGGATCAATGAAGTGACATATAGTTTAATTTTAAAAAGTAGATATTTTATAGCAAAATTAAATTTTCGATACTTAAATTTTTTAAAAATTAATTTTAAATTAACTAATAACAATAGAGGTGGAGCAATTTCAGATTCTGCTGGAGCATTTAAGGAGCAAATAATTGGCATACAGTTTAATTTTAAAAAGTAGATATTTTCTGCTTTATAGCAAAATAAAATTTTCATACTTATTTTTTTTTTAAATTAATTATAAAGTAACTGATAACAAAAGAGGTGGAGCAATTTCGGATTCTGCTGGAGCATTTAAGGAGCAATCAATTGGCATACAATTTAATTAAAAAAAATAATGTTCTACGCTGTCTTCCTTCTGGTTATTTTTTTTAATTAATTATAAATTAACGAATAGCACTAGAGGTATAGCAATTTCGGATTCAGCTGGAGCATTTAAAGAGCAAATAATTGGCATACAGTTTAATTTTAAAAACTATATATTTTCTGTTTTATAGCTAAATTAAATTTTCGATACTTAAATTTTTTAAAAATTATTTATAAATTAACTAATAGCAATAGAGGTGGAGCAAATTCGGATTTTGCTGGAGCATTTAAGGAGCAAATAATTGGCATACAGTTTAAGTTTAAAACGTAGATATTTTATGTTTTATAGCAAAATTGAATTGTCGATACTTAAATTTTTTAAAAATTAATTATAGATTAACTAAATACAATAGAGATGGAGCAATTTCGGATTCTGCTGGAGTTCAGTTTAATTTAAAAAAAGTAGATATTTTATACTTTATAGCAAAATTAAAGGAGATGTTCCAGAAATGTATGGAGCCTGGGCCAGCACTATGTACACTATATGTAAATATCGCTATATAATATAGTAACCGTTTTTTATTGTTAGTTTTCTTTAATTTCACTTCGTTTCAATGTACATTCAAATTAACTTGGTCAAGGAGAGCAACACAACATTAAATTAAAAATGGTGGATCACAGAGAAAACACGAAAAATGTCATTTTGACATTGACATTTGATTGACGTGTATCGTAATATCTGCAATAAAAAAAACAATACGAATTTCGAAAATCTTGGGATTCGATAATATTAGACTACAGGATATTCTACTCGATTTCGGTAGCACATCTTATATCACCTATTAGAGTAGTTAGAGATTGGTTATATCGAAACGAAACGAAGGCTTGAAAGTTATTTTGTTTAGTAACACTGCTGCTTCATTCTTTAGCGCGTATCAATATATTCTGGACTTCGATAATTCATAGGAGAGCGGTGAGCTGTGCAATATCTGACAACTGCAAGTTAATGTTAAAGTAGTTAACTATTCCTATTACACAGTAACAACTGGGAAGATACGAACTATTTTAGTTCAATTAAGCAGCAGCAGCATAATCAGCCTATAATGTTCCCACTGCTGGCACGTATACCTCCTTTCTGTGAGGGAGTGGACTGTAATCCACCATGCCGGCACAATGCCCAACTAAATACTATCAATTTCTCAAACAAGTTCAATGTTATATAATTTCTAGTATTAGCGACATCAAAAAGATGAGAAATCAGTCATGAGAGGTATATAAATAAAACAACTTGTTGGGACTTATGATTTTATTCGTTTTCCACAACATCCCTTATTAATATTCCATCCAGGAATGACACCGGTGCTTCTATGCTCTCTTGGTACTGAGCCCAACCCAAATACCACACAAAGGTCATGACATGAGCACAGCAACCCATTGTCCGTAGATACAATTACAATAGCTAATTATTTTATCATCCCCACTTGATCCTTCCCTTGCCAGTAATATGTAGGTATATGTTTGTCCTGAGTATGTCGAGATTTTATATGACCTCTTATTAAAAAAGGATCAAGTTGGGATGGGGTTGCTTCTGCTACTACTTCCAGTTCGTCCGATACTTCTATCTGAAATGATCCATGCTGCCTAATGTGTTCCCCGAAATAGCTTCTAACCTGTTTTATTTGATAGGTACCTAACCCAAAAAGTATTAAGTCAGTAAATCAGTAAAGCGGTTGATCCGGTTAGCAATTATAAGTTCTGTTAACCGGTTGGGCATATTTTTTCTCTGCATTGCTCGAGTAAGTATAGCATCAGCAACTGGTCTATTTTTAATCACTGGATGGAAGGCAGTAATTATAGCTGCACAAATATGAACATAGTCCATCAAATGGGTGGCAGCGAAATTAAAATATTCATGTCTCAGTAGATTAGTCTCTTTTAAATCGACCATTAACTACCTCTACCATCCATCTGCATAGTATCACACACCTTGTTTTGTTCGCATTGATGGTCGATAATTGAGTCTCTCCTTGTTCTAAGGACTCTGGTTTAAATACTTTGAAGCCGTTGGGCTTTGTAAGGGCCCTCTACCATTAGAATGGAATCACGAAAGCCTTAATCCAAAATGAAAACATCATTGGGCTGAAAAAAGCCCTTAGACCCTCGTTTTCATTTTGGAATAAAGCTTTCATGATGTCAGAATCTGATTTTGTTGCTGGATAGGGCCCGAAAATATCAATAATGTAACCATTAGTGGCAACAATGAGAAAAGGTTTAACAAGGTTTCTATATTTGTGCAAGCTATAAGTATGTTTTTGAAACATGTAGTTGGATGATTTTTGAAGATATATATAGGTACCATCACATATTATTATAGGTACTCATGCCTCTTTGTTTCCAAACAAGCCTTCGGGTAGTAATAAATTCCTATTAATTAAATCATTTCTTGTGGGATTGGGAATCAATAATATTTTTTCCAAAGTAACAAATATTTTTTCAGTTTTTAATATAATTTTTCTTAAGTATTCCGGCACTCTATTTCGTTCTATGTTGCTACAAGCCGGCACAAAACAATGAGCATTTGTCTGTGTTGTGTGTGTAAAACCATCAAGTGTTATTGATGCACTTGGTGGCTGCATATCAAATTGTTGCACCACTTCTTGCTCCATTCCTATATTTTCCTGTGCATTTGTCTAGCAGTTGGAACAAGAAAGCGCATGTTATGGTAACTGAAACAATAAAAAAAACAATTTACTCATAGGGGCAACTGATAGGGTTACTAATAGTTGAATGTACAGTAACGTTACTTGTGTATGGTGGTTTGGTAAATTAAAATAATCTAACCTCATTTGGGTAAATTCTTGCTGGAACTTCATCTCTCACAGGACCACTAGCCGGGGCTGGAGTTTGCTGATTATCCTCAATCCTTGTAGCATGCTCCACATTTCTATGTGCTGCTACCCAACAAGCATAGCAAACCAGTCCTCCTGGTGGAATCTGAATAAAAGAAAAGAATACAATATGTATTGGCTATTCACACAATTATTTAATTTCAACACTAGATAATTAAGTAAGTTGTTATTGTTACCTCTCTTGGATATATTGTTTCTGTTATTATGGTCCATTCAGGTCCTTCAGGTATAGAGTGGCTATGTGTCTGGGCAAGAGACCGTCAGCACCATACACCTGCATTCATATTCATAAGAGTAGAAGCTGCTATGTATGCTTGTTGTTGTATGTACCCAACAAGTAAATATATTAAGGCACCCTCTGGTATCTAAAACAAAAAATATGAAATTAAGATTTATCTATTTATATCACAACATTTCTAAACAATTCAAATTAATCAAGATTCAGTTATTTCAATATCACTTTTACAGACTCATCCAAGGTGATGTTATATATGTCACATGTCTACACACATTTCCAAAAACTAAATTGTAACTGTCCTTTTTCTTCCTGAAAAGATATTGTCTTGGACCATAATAAGAAACATCTGCATTTACCTGCCTTGTATGAATTAAAAAGAAAAAAAAGAGGTGCTTACCTCTCTTGGAGCAATTGTTTCAGCAATATATTGCCTTTCTGCACCCTCGGGAATCGAGTGAGCACACGTCCTAAACAAAGATGTCCTACACCTAACATAAACATTGCTATCATGGCAATGCTGGAGTTCATGATCTCCGTGTGCAAGAACACTATCATTAGACATTTCTTGCATTATGATAGCAAAGCATTGTGAGCACATCATTCCATCAACCTAAAACAAAATAAAAAAGGGGTTATCCAGTGTTTATAGATGTTACAGTATATAGATAAATAAAATGTTTTTTACCAGATGGCCAAGATGCCGCTCGATGACGGAAATTATTTCGGGACCCATATTATCGGCAGTATAATATTATTCATTTTTATCTATTACAGAGGTGCACTGTAGGCACGCCATTGTCAATAAACTGGAATAAGTATGAGTAAAAATCTTTTAGAATATGGAACAAGGGAAGAAAACATCACATAGAAATAGCATTTGAACAAAACATCGAGTAAATGCATGGGGACATACCTGAAACTGAATTTGTTATTATAAAATAACACACGACAGATCCCAAATCACAAGACTCTTCTTCAAGACTCAAAGACGTCACTTCTAAAACTTTCATAGTCGTCAAACGTCATATCAAACACAACTGTCATGGCTGCCCTTCAAATAGGGTTATCATAACATAAAACTTTTGAAATGATCATTTTTGTACGGCTATACCCTTTTTCAAATTAATTTCTTAGTATTTTTATGAAATTCCTCAATTTTTTTCCTATTTATCCATGTAGTGTACATAGTGGTGGCCCAAAATCGAACATCTCCTTTTTGATACTTAATTTTTTTTTTAATTTTAAAATAACTAATAACAATAGAGGTGGAGCAATTTCGGATTCTGCTGGAGCATTTATGGAACAATTAATTAGCATACAGTTTAGTTAAAAAAAGAATGTTCTACGCTAACTTCCATCTGGTGGGACTTCCATAGTAAAAGTAAATGCATGAAATTACGCCAAGCTGCTCTACCAACTTCAAGATATGACATTTCGTTTTGACAAACAGTGTTGACAACTTTGACGAATTACGATAGTGCTGTAAATGTCTGTCCTCGAATAATTTTATCGATATAACGTCTATCGATATATTGTTTACCGATATTTTTACATAATAAAAGTTAGACCTCTATACTGAATTATTTATGATAAATACATTTTTTAACGTGGGGATTGAGTAAAAAATCCGGTGAGGATAAGAAATCAATGTATTTTACACACAGCAATTTGTAATTATATCTCTACAATTAGGTACAAAAATATGTATAAAGAAAATATAAAATAAATAACGCACTATTATACTAGTAATTAATTAAGTAAAAAATAAACGACGACTCTGTAGCGCAGTGGCTAAGCGTTTGGCTGCGGCATTGCAGGACTGAGGCTTCGTTCCCGCACTGAACAAGTGTTGCTATGCTGTAAAATAAATAGTCTGCGTCGGGATGCTTGTTTTCAACGTTTGTTTTTTTTTTAGGGTAAAAATATTAGGTTTTTAACACTGATTGGATGAAATTGCTTTTATGTGTAACAAATACTATGTACAAATCGCTAAGCTTCTTCACAGAGTATGTACATACTATTCGCAGAGATCGTTTACTAATTGTCGCTTTCAAAATGAGTGCTCATTATAGCCAATGTTTGTAGATGAATCTATAAAAAAAATATTTATAATCAGGTAAATACCAATAACTTTGAGTTTATTTCTATAATCGAATTCTTACCAAAATGTGACTTTAGAGGGATATTATCTTTTGCTACATATTAATGAAACCTAATCAACATATGCATAATTGTGGAATTTTAAATTAAGTCCACTGATGAAATAACAGTTCATTTTAGTTGGGTTCAAATGCAAAGTTTGCCACAAAAATATGTTTTAACATGTGTATATTTTCAATTGGTGCATGTGCCAGCTATTTCACCCATTGCTTGCATCTGAAAAAATAATATAAATAAAATCACATTTTTATTGAACAAATAGAATGTTAGCAGTCACAATTGACTACACAGTTTCTAAGTATAGTTCGTTCCGGATTGCCATACCATCGAACTATCAGATTTAGGAAATAGTGTGTTTGTATTTGTGCACACAATCGTACACTATAAACACCTGTCCTACGTAGATGGCTAGTCCAAAAATGTACTCGCGTTAAATATCATATTACTATTAAAATTGAAATCATCACATACCTTTCATCATCTTAGGGAAATATTGCTACAAATAGCCTTTTCTTGTTATCATTTTTGCACCATTTAATTGGTAAGTTTTAAAATGCATATTTAATTTTTTAACAATCCTGTAAATGAACAACGGCTCCTATAGCAAAATTAAAAGCCATCTTAATAAATAAAATATATACAAACATAATTGTTTGATTTGACATTTGAACCTATTTGATTTGACAATGTCGCATTAATAGACATATTACGAAAAGCAGAAAGAAAAGATAACCGTCATTAAAATTTGACCCCTGTAGTACATATAATTTTTACTATGGAAGTTGCACCAGCCTGGTTTTAGCAGCCTTGTATTAATTTATTTTACTAAATAGGCTGAAGCCGCACTACGAGCCACAGCCACAGAGGACTTTATTTACTCCGGCCTCAAATGCCGTCGTGAGTGGTCGTTTGTTACAGCGGCTCGTGCTTAAAAATATCGATCGCCGTAGAAATACAAAATATTCCAAAAACCAAATTTGATACAAACTTGACCAAGGAAAGATATTATTTTTATAATCACAGATTTTTATTACAATATTTTGTTTCGCTAAAAGCACGTAGGATTTATATATAAATAAGTTTGGCCTCGTTTTGTTAGTTATTATGAGATCTTTACGTCCGGGCTTGATATCGTGACTTGAAAGTGTACTTTGAAGACTGCCACTGGAACTCATCGACGAGGGGAACTAGACGTGCAGAGTTTGGGCTCCATTTGTTAGTTATGAATATACCTTACCTCCGGACTTGACGGAGTGACTTGAAAGTGTACTTTGATGACTGCTACTGGAACTCCTCGACGAGGAGAACTAGATGTGCCGAGTTTGTTATTTTTTTTGTGTTATTTTACTAAATACACTTTGCCTTTCTCACTCCGGACCATAGATAATATACTGTATAGTAAAAATGGTTAATATATATTTTAACTGTTGAATTAGACAGTTTTTGTTAAAAATCAAACTTATATCCAATATTTTATGCTCAAATTGTGGTTGAAAATTATCATATCATATTAAATAAATTGTTTGCCGTTAAATCTTTTGAAATGTTATTTTTAGTAAACTGTACGAATTTTTTTTTTATAGAATAAGGGTGACAAACGAGCACACAGTCCACCTGATGGTAAGTAGTTGCTGTGACCCATAGACATCTACATCTATCCTCGATTACGAATTAAAATGCAGATGCGTTGTCACCCGTGAGGACTAAGATGGAATTCCTCGTTTCCAGTAAAAAAGGTTCTCCGGTTCTCTACACTCACCATACGAAACAGAGCCGCGTTATGCTGCTATTTTACGCTGGTATTCTGTGAGAGCGTGGTCCTTCCCCGGTCAAGCCGACCCATTCGTGCTACAACTATACTACTAATATAGCTGCAACATGGCTCTACCACATAAAAATATTTTTTTATCACATAGATGTAATAATTGGCTGAATTCATCAGTGGCTGATGTTAATTTTATGTACTTTTTTGTTACGCTATTGGCTGAAATATTGGTTGGTATTAATTTAAACGAAGCGCGTCAGTTTAATATTAATTTAAAATTGAAGTTTGACATAAAATTATTGGAAAATTGGAAGTATACTATTAAGGTTATTAGTGAAAACTTGTGTGCGCTTAGGGCATGCACAATTGGATTTACCAATAATTGGTTTATTGTTTTCACACTCAATTAGGCGTAAATTAATCGAAAGAAAAATCAACAGTAACATACACTTCAAAATAAAAAAATCAGGTCTGAAAGGGTTAAATTCAATACAAGTGGGAAAATTTAAAAATTTTGTACAACCGATTTCAATATAAATATAATTTATTTTTGATTATTTAAAAACGGCTTGACCGATTTTGACAAATTTAATTGGGACCTGGGAAGTATATACATATACCCTTTGAAACAAAATTCCAAATCGGTTTAGGCGTCCAAGTAATTGGTGTACATACATTAAAAAAAGAATTGTAAGCCTCCTCCTTTTTGAAGTCGGTTGAAAACAATGTTTTATTAGTTAAATTTAATGCAATCAAAACAAAAAAACAATCTACTATGTTTTTTTTTCTTCACTTTTTAAGGCTGTTTACACACCTAACAATAGTATTAAGCTGTAGACTAAATGCACAGCTGTGTTGTTTACTTTTGTGATTAATAACGGGAATGTCCTCCTCTTTTAAAAACACATTCTCGGAGCACTAGCTGGCATGCTCTCAATAACGTGGCGGATGTTTTCCTTTGGGATCTCTTCCCAGTACCTTTTCAGTAACTTTACAGCTGGGATAATCGCGAAGGGCTATTCAAAACCTTTGAACCGGTATCAAGAGACCGGGAGTGTATCTCGGGATGAATCAAGCTACCACCGCCCAGGAAGACCGGAATGTGCGAACAGTAGACGGTTTCATCCTCATACAGGATAATGCACGACCGCACAGCCTGGGTGACCATCTCTGTACTGGAAAAAGTCAATATTTAGGTTATAGCATGGCCTGCTAACATCTTTGAGACCAATTAAAACGTCGAGTCCAGATAACTGAAGAGGATGTACACATCCAGCAACAGTTGATTCAGTTACTGAAAAGGTGCTGGGAAGAGATCCCAGAGGAAAACATCCGCCATCTTATTGAGAGCATGCCAGCAAGGCTCCAAGAACGTGTTTTTAAAAGAAGAGGACATACCCGTTATTAGTCACAACAAAAGTAAACAACACGACTGTGAATTTAGTCTACAGTTTTATTCTATTGTTAGGTGTAAGCAGCCTTAAAAAGTGAAGAAAAAAACATCCATATATTGTTATTTTTGTTAATTGCATTGAATTTAAAACAACCCGAGCACATATTCATGGCAAAAAAATAAATAAAGGGAACATTTGTGGTGGCCCCTTATTTTAGTTTGAGTAGTATAACTTTTGTATTACATTTTAAGAGTGGTCACAAGTTGTAGATTATAGATATATTAAGAGATTCATTTTTAGTTTATTTTTTTCCTAGCTTATCAGGTAAATAAAACTAAGAAAGTGTCAAAACGAATGAAAAATCACATAGCTAATTGAACTTACTATCATTGTTTTAATGGAAGCTAGTATAATACACAATTTAAATTTTATCCTTTACATCATCTTTATAAAACAGATACAGTATTAAATACATGTTGTAAATAGCATTAACTAATATTTACAAGTCCCTTAAACAACTATACATCTTATTAAATTAATAATAATTTAATATAAGGGATAAATGGACAGTCAACAGTTTTAACATTCATTCCGTTTAAACTTTTTGTTTGATTCATTCACTACATCTTCAAGTTTGTTTATCCTTCTTGCTTTAAGAAAGGAGTTGCTGTCACTATCACTTACATTCTGACGAATGCAGTTCACACTAGATACGTTCTGATTATGTACACCATGTTTTTTTTCACTCATAGATTTATTTTTATTAACTATTAATGTGTTTTGAATGTCTTTAACCAAATCACTTGTATGTAACTTAATAGGTATAAGAATTTGATTTTCATTTTCAACTTTCTTTATGAATTCTTGCTTTATTGAAACAACGGATCTATTTTCAGAATCACTAGACAACCTTATAGTTTTTCTTAAATGGATTGTGTCAGATGAATCTGAAAAATTACGTTTCACTAATATATCACCAGTTGGCATTTGTTTAACAAAGGTGAGTGTTGGTCCTTCGGACTCCTTTCCATCTCCTTTCAGCATTTTACTAGAATTTGCTTTATCACCATCAGAAGTTTCATCTTGCTGTTCTTCCGATTCTATTAATTTACCTATAAAACAAAAATTTGTTACTTTTATTTTTTAATAACATATTTACCTGAATTGTTTTATAACACGTATATAATTTACCATTTAATGTCGGGAATGTAATATCTGGTAAAGTCAGATGTGATTCTGGATTAAATCTGTGCATTAATGATTTTAACAGGTTCGAAATTTCCTCTCGCTTCCGTGTCACAACAATTTCATCAAACCAGTGAACCAGCTGCTTTATAGGCAAAGAATAATCCAAAATAGGATCCTAAAAATAAATTGTGTTATTAGGTTATATATTATAACAAAAGAAATATATTGATTTACAAGCATTACAAACCTTAAAAAACTGTTCTACATATTGCAACAAGTATAATCCACAGTCTGTAAAATTATTTTGTTGAGGTATTTTTGGACAGCTTCCTTTCATATTGTCTTTGTTAAAAACTTTACTTTTACATATCTAAAAAAATAAAACTTTATGAGAATATAGTTGAAACTAAAGAAATAAATAAATACACAAAATTTTCTTGAACTTACTTTAGCTTGATATTCACATGTGAGGTAGTCACGCAGAGTTGCAACCACTCTAGATCTAGATGCACCAGCTAACGAATCGAAAATTAATATACAAGGTCTGCAAAAAGTTTAATAAATTAGTAAGTACTTACAAAAAATATGACACATTTATTTTTATTCACTACTCACTGTTTAATAGGTTCATTTTTGCCTATAGGTTGAGGTTCAACTCTTTTTTCATTTCTCTCAACATCTTCTTCATCTGAATCACATTGCATATCTAAATCACTTTCCTGAAACAATTCATATTTTTCTTAGCTGAGATGAAAACAATTTATTTTTATTTTCAATTAAACTTATTCCCAAATTACTATTGAAATGTTAATTTTTATTTTTTAAACTGCCTGTGTATAACACAAAAGTAAATATTATTACTATAATTATTTCATATAATAATAATAATATTTGCTACTAGCCAATTTGCATCATTAACAAAGTTTCCTAATATTGTATGTTCTATTTTATACTATTTTGATAATTTAACACATACATCTGCTTCAGCTTCATCCCTCTCACTAAGATTATCCGAGTCACAACTTAATGTAAGTTGTTCTTGCTTTGTTAAAGGGGTGATTGTCGTATTTCCTATTTGTATTGAAGACCGTCGTTCTGAAATAAAATGACCTTCAATTTAAAAAAATCGATTCGATCTGTTGAAAAACCCTTATGAAAGCAGAAGGGGGTGGGGCATAATTCGATCTCGCTCATCAACCCGCGCACTTAGTGAGGTATTTATTATTATATATAAGAAATAGTAATTTTTATTTCCACCTTATAACTATATATTATGTAATATTGATCATATGATAAAAAAGCAGTCAATCTTTATTAGTTCAACTGTTAGTAATCATGTAACTTCTGGACAACTTGAGGTAATATTGACAATGTATTTGTTTTGTCGAGATGATGGTTCATAGCTATACTAGGACCAAATAACTACGCAATGACGAAATAGTTCATAGGTATTCGCCCAGGTGATGCTGTGTTAGAGTTAATAATAGATTTTATAAATGCAGGCCAAGTGAATAGATGGCCTCTGAGCAAATATAACCTTGTTTTGTACAACTAAAAAATTTTAGAAAGATTAATGTTACAAGCTGTTGTTAAATCTATAAGTACATGTGATTGAAATATATAGCAGATAAGTTATTAAAATTGTTTTAATATATATATATATATATATATTAAAACAATGAAATGGAGACATACATACCTCTTTTTTTTATTTCTTGAGGAGTGACAGTTCTATTATCAATCATACTTCTACAACCATCCAAACTGGGAAAACAAATGATTGCCACAAACCAATGGCAGTTTTCATTAATAGGAACTACAATAAAGTCTTTTTCAAAAATGTTAACATTTTTTGTCCAAGTTTTCACTCTCGCATGCCGCTTTTGTGCAGGTGTCAGGCTACTGTCCCATTCATGTGGGTTAGAACATTTATTAACTTTACTTGGTTTGGTTGTTAGCCTTTTATAAAAAAATGTGCTAAAAATATGAGTCTTTTCTCTCTGACCATGTGTTAATATATCGTGAACTAAATATTTTAAATAAAAATCTATGATAACATCGTTCAAAAACTGATCTTGAGCTAGGCACATGTAGTCTTCTGTATTAATAGGTATACCTCCTTTACCGGGCGGATAAATCAAGATCTGCCTTATTTCGGCAGGGTTAGCACTAAAAAAAGGAAATAGATTAATTATAGTTTGTTAATTTAATGTAAAGCAAATACTGAATAGTTAAATTAACTAATTATATAAATAAATTAGTACCTTTTAGCTCCGGATGAATTAGAAGCACTTATAGACCTAGTTGTAATTTTTGTAACATTACTACTATCTTTAGGACATGTCCTGACTAAAATATCATTAGCTTCACGAGTATTAAGTTCATCCATTACTTTACCAAATAAGGCTTTTAAGGCTATTTTTTCTTCATCTGATATAGATTCAAGTAAAAGTGTAATTCTTTTAAAAGGATCTATATTTGACATGGGATTGTAATATGGGCCTGAAAATAAACACATAATATTAAAAACAAAACTCTAGTAATTTATTATTGATGGCTCTGTAGTGCAGTGGCTTAGCATCCAATTGAGGCGCTGAGGACCACGGGTTAGAAATCCCACACGAAAAAGTATTTGTACTGCCTACAAATCTGGATTTTTGTCTTTGTGCAATTTATGTATGTTAACTGTCTCTATGATACAGGAGAAAATCCTTGTGTAGTAACGTTAAATAACATTATTGGGAGAAAAATTTAATAAGCATACTTTTAGGAATTTTTACTTTATTTAAGACTTCTACAAACATAAACAACTACTAGTAATTATATACCTGCCTGCCTTGGACAACAATGATCTAATAAGGGAGTTATGAAAATAAACAATATGAATCAAGCAAGACTCAAATTACAAATAAAATGATGATGATGAATGTGAAATCAGATTATTACTTGTTGCGAGTTGGAGTTGCTCTACTTTGTGCTTGCTAGTACAAGACTCCTACTGAGAATAAAGTTAATTGACAAACCTCTATATAATATTGATATAAACAATGTCATATTAGGAGACTGAAGTTAAATCTGATTTTATCATGGAAAAGAGATCTATTTATCAGATTATTTCATTTCTTCCACTAAGGAAGTCTACAAAGTTGTCTTGAAGACTCTAGTGACGTGTCTGTGAAGCCAAATAATTATCCAGACGTTTTTATAATCAATGCCAACCTACCAGGTTATAAGTGACAACTATTATTGATTTGACAAATGTCAAGTAGGTATGTATTATTTACATATTGACATTTAATGAATTCTAAGCAGAAACAAGTGATCAAGGAACAATATCCAGAAAGCAATTGCCTACCATTTATTTGACCTTATGATAATTGGTAGATGCCCTAAAGTCGGCGCCATAAACCATGATGATTTTTCCATTGTTCCAAAATTTTTAATTTTAATGAGTAGCACTTAAGATTCTGCTTCGTATAGTCTTTGTTTGAGCCAAACACAAGCTAGAATAATGTTAATTTTTATTTTGATAATAAGGTTCAAATCGCCAAGCAATAAAATTACCTAAATATCAGGGGTGATCCAAAGTAATGATAATCGGTTATTTCCAGTGTATATAAAATCCAAAAAAATTTTTTCGCTTGCTTATGTACCATGTATGTATGTATGTATGTATCCACTAGATCAGCATAAAAAAATCATATGGGCTATGATTCCCGGGAGGTACATTCACTTGAACATGAATCATCAAGGGAAAACGTCAAAATGGAGGAAAACCAAATAAGAGCTGTTATCAAGTACCCCTGTTTAAAAAAAATCTACCAAAGACAAACACAGAGACTTGGTAGAAACATTGGGGGGACTCTGCTCCTCCATATTCCCCAGTTGTACGCTGGGCCAAGGAGTTTAAGCAGGGCAGAACATCCAAGATGAACATCGCGAAGGACGTGTGACGAGTGACCATCAGGGATATAGCTGAGGTCACAGGGATCTCATATGGTAATTCAAAAAATCCTTGTGAACTAATTGCATATGAAAAAGGTCTCTGTGCGAGTACTGAGAATGTTAACCGATGAGCAAAAGAAAAAACGAGTCAACATTTCAAGGGTAAATCTCGAAAAGTTCGAAGCAGATGCATGTTTTCTGGGATTTTGTTGTAAAAATGTATACATTGCCCCATGAAGGAATTACTGATTCTATGGGATACGAGTAATTGGTATAACTAACTTGGGCTTGTTACTAGTATTTACATAATGTACATGAAGGGCATGCAACATCGAAGGATTGTTGAACTTCTTTGGGGAGATCTCATGGCTCGAATAATTACATTGTTTCTACCCACACACAAAATACTCACTAAGACGTGATACATAATTTATAAATTCTACAGTATGTCCAAGAAATTACCTACACTAATTTCATTATCAAGTACACATAATTTGATATCCTAAATGAATTTGACACTTTTAAATTTGCAATTGTTTTCTAAATTGCTTTGCTACAACAGATGTGTTAGCAAAAAACTAGGCATTTTTTTGCAAGCATTCTGAAAACATTTCTTTTGGATGTAGGTCAAGATTGACCAATGAATCTGTAATCCTGTGAGATACTTCTTTTATTTCAGCGTTGGCCTGTCTACTAAGTATCTTGGGCCAGTTCTTATCATGTTTCTATATTCTATAAATGACTGTACACAGCCGAGGGAGAAAATCAGAGAAAAAATAATATATGAATTCCGATTATCCACCCTATCTGGGTTGGATAGATGAACATGTGTTTCCGAGTATTTACTATAAGGTGGATTTTTTAGGGTGGATAAACGGAATAACCGTAATAAACCTGCAGCATGGCTCTAGCACATGAAGTAAAAGATAGATTAGAAGATTTTTTAAATCTTTTTAGATGTCATAAAAAGTATACTAAGATTATTTACCTGATTCTTCAGTCATATCTAATGCTTTTCTTATATATACCCCACATTTACTCATAGTGTATAAAAAAATAACAGGTAATCCTTTTCCAAAATGTACTAATATTCTTACAACTTCCTTTAACTGTATTTGAAGTGCCACCTCTCTCGATTCATTTTTTAGAGAGGGTGCAACTATCTTAATACCTTTAGATGATATGTAAACCTGAAAAAATAGTAAAATATTTCATAGTCAAATAGTTTTTTGGTAATACAGCCTCCTTAAGTTTTATTTACAAACTGATTAAAATTAGGATCACACTTACCTTTTCTTTTGGTGTATATCTATATGATCCGATTCTAATAGTCCGGCAGATTAGTGAAGTAACAATTCCTTGCAATATGCTTGGGTTTATTTCTTCTCTACTGCCATCTTGAATTAAAAGAATATGAAGAATTAATCCCGAGACAAAATTAAGGCTCCTCTATTTTACAAATAAAATATATATAATAAGTATAAGGTATGGTAATTATCACATAGTTGCAGGGTACAAGAATCTACACACCAAGTGATCCAGTGGCTATTGTAAGAGAAAACAAACAACTGAAACAAGAGATGGGTAGCAGCATTTGCATGATAACTTAAAAATAATAAAAAAAACTGCAGTTGCCATGCTGCTTGCTAAGAGCGACAGTTATGAAAATCCCATATCAGGCACTCTATGCAAGAGGTCTATTTTCTTCAGTGATATTTTGGTAGGCTTTATGTTAATAGTTTATCAAAACACTTATAACAAGCTATAGCACTAGCCTTATCAGAATATTCAATATAAATTAGTGTATTTACACAAACAGTACCTGAAATAAAATTAATAATACACACATTGTGTGTATTATTAATAAATGTAGCTGTTTAATACGCTTACGATAATTATTCATTTTAATGATTTAAATATTATATACGATAAATATATATTATTCAATTTTATTCAAAATCACTTAAGTTTATAATAAAACAAAATTGCTGTTACGTTAGTAATTTACGGTGTATAATGCGTCAAATTATCAGAAATATAATTGACATTATTCTTCCTTCGCTCGTTGGGGGTACGAGTTTGAAAAAAAAAATATCGCAGTGAAACAAACTAGGAACGTTATTTTATTAAACTTAGTAATTTTATTTTCCTTTTTATATACCTTTTCTGCTGTTTACACTAATAACTTTAAACATCTATGTACAAAAATCTATATAAACGTGTTACCAGTGACAGAAACAATATCAAATTATTGCAGTGAACAAATAATGAATGTAATTTTAGTGTACCTAGTAATTTATTTTACTATAATAAGTACCTATATACCTTTTCTGTTGTTAACGCTAATATCTTTAGACATCTTTGTAGAAATCTTTTTAAAAACGCATTGGTTACCAATGACAGAAACAGAACATTTACGGACAGATTAAAAAGTACAGATTCTCAAGATAACTTAGAAACAGACATATGATTATAGATTTTTTTATTAAGATATTTTGGCTTGGATGCTTGTCCTTTAAGCCATGTCTCCATTTTGTGATCTCAGGTATCAAGTGATAATAATTCTTTATAGTACACTGCTGCACAATATGTTGATGCGGATTGCGGCATATTGCGTAGTCTTAGGGAGATTTTAACGGTAACTTGAGCCAGCAGACGGTTGGCGATAGTATCTCAAGGCACCTAACTAGACAGACACCTTGTTACAACGTCTTCACTAATAGTACACATGCGCAGACATCTAATACACAAAATCGTGCCACTTTTACACATTAAAATCCACTTCAAACCATTATTTAAACAATAATACAAGAGCAGCAATCCGCCGCAGGTCAAGTTCTCGCCGAAAACTCCTTAGAATCGAGTAGCAGTTACTAAAAAAGGAATGTGATTGTATAGTCGAGGCAGTTACTAAAATATCGATATTTTATAGACAAAATCTACGTTGGACTAATTTTTACAAAGCTATATTTTATTTAGAACAATAGATAAATTAGCGCCGGTAACTTCGTCGTCCAGGGCTGAGCTGGAGGAGTTTTGGGAGAATGTAAGAGAAGTTCTAGATTTGGTTAGGGGAAACGAAAGAATTGTTGTATGTGGTGATTTGAATGGATGGGTTGATACCGCTCGATCAGGGTACGAGTCGGTGCTTGGAAAGTTTGGCGATAAAAGGGTTTCAGGAAGCGGATACTAAGGACAAATATCATGCGAGGGTAGTCGAAAAGCTTGACACCATCGATGGCAGAAAAGAATGTGTGGAAAGAACATGGCAGAACCTTAGGGATGGAATGGTAAGTGCAACGGAAGAAGTATGTGGAACGATAAAAAGAGGTAGTAGTAAAAGAAGAGATGCATGGTGGAATGATGAAGTAAAAGAAGCTGTAAAGAAGAAGAAGAAAGCATGGTTAGACTACTTGGCCTCTGGTAATGATAAGGATATGAGAGAGAAGATGAAAGAAAGATATAAGCTGCAGAAAGTTCATACGAAAACATTGATTGAGGAAGTGCGTGAAAGATGTAGAATGGAAGCGGATGAAAGGTTGTCGCACAACTTTAAGGAGAACTCCAAACTCTTCTGGAAGGAGGTTGAAAGGACCCAAAGTGGTGCGACGGCCTTAAGAATGAACAGTGCTTTCGAGAACCAATGACGTCCTCTCAGAAAAATCGGACGTCATGCAGCGATGGATCGAATTTTATAGAGAAATGTATGCGTGTGATGATCTTAGTGAGGGATCCGGGGATGACGCCGTGACTGGTACGCCAGACCCGGACCTCGATTAGACTGAGGTCATCAGTATGAAAGAGATTGAACGTGCGATTCGAAGTCTGAAATGTGGTAAGGCTGCGGGACTAGACAGAGTTACTGCTGAAATGGTCAAGTATGGTGGGCCTCGCGTCTGGGACAGCTTTCATCTGCTGTGCAATTTGTGCTGGCGGACGGGGGATGTCCCGGATGATTGGCGATCCGCAGTCATTGTGATTTTATATAAAGGTAAAGGTTCACATTTTGACTGCGGGTGCTATAGGGCGATCAGCTTGACCAGTTTAGCAAGTAAAGTTTACTCGAAGGTTTTGACACGTAGGATGCAAGAGAAATTGGAAAGATTTCTATGGGAGGCACAATGCGGATTTAGACCTGGAAGAGGATGCACGGATCAAATGTTTTCACTCCGCATGATCACGGAAAAGCTTCTGGCTGCTAACCAGAGGATTTTCTGTGCTTTTGTAGATCTTGAGAAAGCATTTGATAAGGTTGTAAGGAAGAAAATGTGGGAACTGTTGCCGGGGTATGGTGTGGATGGTCGATTGCTAAGGGCTGTGCAGTCACTTTACTGTGACTGTAAAGCCTGTGTGCGGGTAGGGCATGACCTGTCACCCATGTTTAGCGTCCAAACGGGCGTAAAATAGGGTTGTGTCATGTCTTCCTGGCTGTTCATACTGTATCTCGACAGTTGTTTACAGAAGCTGAAAGATAGCTGTTTGGATGTGAAATTGGGTGACATTAACGTAAATTGTCTGCTGTATGCTGATGATGCAGTGCTTATTGCACCATCAGAGGCAGAACTGCAAGCATTAGTCACGTGTATGAAAGAAGAATGTGAACTTGAAGGTCTCCGTTTGAATGCTAATAAAACTAAGGTTCTGGTATTTGAAAGGGACGAAGAGAGAATGAAGTGTGAAATATGAGTAAATCAGGAATGTCTAGAACAGGTAAATGAAATTGTATACTTGGGTAGTGCTTTCAGCCGGGATGGAAGATGTGATTTAGATGTGGACAGGCGTGTCGCTGCCGGGAACTAAAGTCAATGGTGCCCTGACTGCGTTAGTCAAAAGGCAAGGTGTAGTGAAGAGTGCACGCCTTGCAATGCGTAACGCAGTGTTGGTACCGACTTTGTTATATGGCAGCGAAACCTGGGTATGATGCCAGAAGAAGCATAAAAGTAAGTTGAATGCAGTGGAGATGCGATCTCTTCGTAAAATGTGCGGCGTTACTATGGCCTGACATAGAAGAGATTCGCTATATGGCAGTTTGAAAGATGACCTTATCGCAAAAATTGATAAGGGCGTGCTTCGATGGGTTGGGCACGTTGAGCGAATGAGTGAAGACCGAATGGTGAAGAAAATATATAGCGCGAAAGTAAATATTAAAAGGTGTCGAGGTAGACCGAGACTAACTTTCGAAGACTATGTGAGCAAATTGCTCGAACAGGGGAGGGTCAAGAGTACTCGGATACCTAGAAGTGCATGTATGAAGAAGATAATGAATCTGAAAGAAGCGAAAGAGGTATGTAAGGATCGTGACACTTGGCGATCTGTTCTCTCTGGCTACCCCGTCAGGGATTGTGCGTGAAGATAAGTAAGTAAAGTAAAGATAAATTGTAGGTTATTGGCGACATAAAAACAATGGCGACTTTTCTAACAAAGTCCAATATAATGTAACTTGATATAATATAATATGTCGTTTCATTTGTCTATACGGCATTCAATACATTATTTTCAAAGTACTTAAATTCTATCCAGAAACGAAATCTATTTAAACTTTTTATTTTGATATTACAGACACTTCAATGTATAGATTATACTATGTATTAATTTGAAAATAAAAATCATCTTCTATTTCATGTTGATTCCAACATTCATATTGACATTTAAACAAATAAAATGGCTGCCAGCATCTGTAACTTTCAGTACGGTGTTGACTGCAGCGGCAGCTCAAGAAACGAGTGCTAGGCTAACCTTTCGTTAAGTGTATTAGTGTTGCCAGTTCCAATGGGCCAAATATCGGAACGGAAGGTAAAAATAATCGAGAATTTGGTTTACAAATCTAATGAAATAAAAATAAAAAATAGGTTTTTTGTAGCCATTATGGCCGCCATGAGTTATGATGAAGTCTTTTAGATACAATGCGCAATTTACTTCATAATTTTTTTTTGTCTGAGCTGACCAACGAATAAATTATCGACCATGCATCGGAAACACTGCATATTCGTCGTGCATGTGCGTTTTTTTCCGTAAACCAGAATTTGTTAAATGATTAGTTCCAATTGCAATACATATTTACGTGATTTTTATACAATCGATTTATTTTAAAACCGATTTTTGAGTCTGTGGTTGTTCGTTGTGGCTTTGCATAGTTAAGCGTACACCATCACTATCGAAAGTGGGCGTTCCCTATCTATGAAGTATAATATATATATATATAATATATATATATAACAATATCTGTATGACAGTTTATCTAAAAAATACGACACTTCATAGACGTGAGCTGTCATACGCACCATGCTACAGCGCAAAGACTATAAGTATGATTTAATTACAGAGTACTTTTTCTTAAATTATATACTCTTTGGTACCTACGGATTTCGTTAGTAAAACGTAGTTACCTACACACTCT